ATCCCCAAAGGGAAGGAATGAATGTTTCCTGAAGATGATCTCATGCTCCTTGGCTAAGCATCAAGAAATCTGGTGGCAGTAACCAAGAAAATAAGTGGTCAAGGAGAAGAATGTAGGATTCCTTTTAAACCAAATTCAGTGACAAAGCTTTGAAAACATAAATTGTCACCTGTAAAAAGCCTTTTCTTTATTTATTTTTCCACATCACAGTTTACACGTAAACCTGTCAGAAATACAGCAAGGTACTGTGTGTTATAGGAAGAAATGCCTGATCCTCTCTATAGGACAGAAGGCAAACTTCAACCTGTCAAACAGAAAGAAGGCTAAGTCCATGTGAACAAGGGAGAGAGTAACAGGAGACAAGGTCAGAGAGAAAGGCAGAGGCTGGAAAATGTAAAAGTCATACAGGCCATGAAAAGAAGTTCGAATTTTATTCCAAGAGGGATAGGAAGTCGTTGGAGGGTTTAAGCATGGGAATGAAACGATCTGCTTTTATATTTTAAAAAGGTCACTCTGGTTGCTATGTGGAGACTGGACTGTGGTGAAGTGGGGGCTGGGGGATGAGAGCCAGAAAGAAAAGGGAGAGAGATTGGATGAGAGAGTGTCAAAGCAGTTCAGAGAGAAGACAGTGGCTTAGGCAAGAATGATAGCAATAAAGGTCATGAACAGTGGTTAGAATCAGGGTACTATTTTGAATGTCAGGCTGGTAGAACTTGCTGATAGATTAAATATTTGCAGTAGGAAAAGAAAGGAATCAAATACGACTCCTAGGCTTTGGGACTGAGCAACTAGGTGAATGGTGCCAGTCACCAAAATGAAGAACACTAGGAGTAAAGCAGTCTTGGCTTCAGGGCAAAAAGTTGTTTTGGATGTGTTAGAATAATGATGCCAATTAAAGCATTCAAGTGACATGTCAAGTGCACTGTCAGATTTTTGAGTGTGAAGATCAAGTAAGAAATATAAATCTGGTAATCAGCACATATGTAGATGGCATTTAAATTAAATCAGGGGACCAAATGAGATGATTTATGGAGCATAGAAATGGAGAAGACAGGCATTTTCAGGACAACTCTGAGGTGCTCCAGTGCTTACAGCTGAACGGAGGAAGATCTAGCAGAGCTAGAGGGACAGGAAAGTGTGATATCCTCAAGAGAAAAGTCATGGAGGAGGAAAGGAGTCAATTCAGTCTAGCTGCTAAGGTCATTACTTTTCTTGGGACGCTGTGAATACCGGGAGATTCTGAGTTCTTTGAAAGAAGGATACTATGAACATGAAGTGCTAGTTTAAAAAATAACAGTCCTCCCTCCTCCATTTTAAGGGAAATATGTGCTCAATAAATAAAATTTTAAAAATACAGGAGAGTAGAAAGAAAAAAAATTACCCTAAGAAATTTGTCATTAAGATTTTGAATCCGACAGAGAAAGACAAATATAATACAATTTCACTTATATGTGAATCTAAAAAACAAAATAAATGAACGAACAAAACAGAAACAAATTCATAGATACAGAGAACATTTTGATGGTTGCCAGATGGGAGGGGTTACAAGGCTGGGTGAAAAAGAGGAAGGGATGAAGATGTACAAATTGCAAGTTATTAAAACAGTCATGGCGTGTAAAGTACAGCATAGGGAGTTAGTTTCAGGTGTACAACATAGTGGTTAATCGTTTATACACCTTACAAAGTGATCACTCCGGTAAGTCTAGTACCCATCTGACATCATACATAATTATTATTGACTATAATTTGCTTCATTCCCTGTTGTTATAAATAGGGTTGTCAAATTTTTTAGAATTATAACTACCACTTTGGTGAACATCTTTGAACATAAAGCTTTTTATGAATTTAGAATTATTTCCTCAGGATATATTCCTAGAAACAGAATTACTGGGGATATGGGGGGAATAGGAATAAGGAATATGAAAACATGGTCAGTGGCCACCAGAGGGCAACCGCAGCACTGTTAGAAAAAAAAAAATCTCATTTGAGACAAAAGACTGATTTTACATTAAGCTAGTAGTTTTAAATCAAGTATTGGCGGTCCTTCATGTTGGATATACCATTTTTATTATATTTTGAAATAGGGAAACCATTTATTTTTCTTATTACTAGCAACTTTTATAAATCATAAGTATGAAAAGAATTTATTTTGCCTGAAATTATCTCCAGAGCTTGGACAGGTTGGGATTTACTTAATGTCGATGCAAGGAAAGTGAGAAGTGAGAACCAGCAATGTAGGCTGCTTCCTGGTACCATAAGATCTAGGGAGCAATTTAAATCAACTCATTAAGATGAAGCATTCTGCCATTAACCAGGATTGAAAGTCATCTTTCCTCTTTATTTCCATTCATTTGTTCATTTATTCAATAACAATTCACTGAGTACTTACTATGTGCCAAGTTCTGTGCTAGAGATTATGTACAGTGGTGAACAAAACTAATGTGGAACTTACAATGTAGTGAATACGCCGTCTGTGACTCAAATATACAATTACAAATTGTCATAAGTGCTATGAAAAAAAATATGTGTGTATGAGAGTGCGTAACTGGGAACTGTCGTTTATCTTGGAGCATCAGGAACTTTCTTATGAAATAACCTTTAACTGAAGGAAGGATATGATTTATTACAGTAACGGGGCAGGGGTGGAGATATTAGAAAGGCAAAGGAAAGATCACGTATGAGAACCTTGGGACAAGGGAACATAACTTGTTTTGAGAATATAAGCCAGTATGACTGGATCACAGACAGTAAAGAGAAAGAATAGCACAAGATAAAATTGGCAAGTAGGCAGGAACCAGATCACATAATAGAGGGGGGAAAAATCCCACAATTTCTTCCAAACGAATTTGTTTTACCATAGAGTAGAGGATTAGAATGAAAAACAAGCTTGCAACACAGACTTTTCCAGGGTACTTTCATAACTTCAAATGTTTTGCTACTTTGCTCTCATAAATATACTTGTATTTGTCAGACTGATTTTTTTATTGGGAAAAAAATGATTTCCTTACATTTAGGAAAACCAAAGACCAGAAAATTTAATTATCTTTTGTTTTTATAGTTGGGCTAAGTTGGCCTAGATATGGGTATTTTGTTTTTTATACTGCCTAGGGTTTGCTGAGCTTTTTGAATCGGTGAGTTGACATGTTTTGTTAATTTGGAAAATTCTTGGCCATTATCTCTTCAGATATTCCTTCTGCCTCAATATCTCCCTCCTTCCTTTGTGAGCCTCCAATTACATTTATGTTAGACTATTGGCTGTATCCCACCTGTTTTTCCTGCTCTGTTCTTTCCATGCATTTTTTCCTCTGTGCTTTAGTTTGGATATTTTTAATTGAGCTATATTTGAATCTACTAACCTTGTCTTCACTATGTACAGTCTGCTGTTAAACCCATGCAATGAGTTATTAATTTCAGATGTTGTATTTTTCTGTTCCAGACTGTTCTTTTGATTTTTTTATAGGTGCCAATTCTCTTGAAATCTTGCCTCATTTCACTTATTTGGTCTGGTTTTTCCTCTATTTTCATAAAATATTTTAGTTATTTTAAAGTCACATGCTAACTCTAACATCTGGACCACCTGTGGTCTGCTTCAACTGTTTTTCTCTTTACTTTGGTCTTATTTTCCTACCTCAGCATTATCTACCATTTTTGATTGTATGCCAGACACAGTCTGGAACCACAGATGACTTCCCTTTCCTGTGTTAGGTAAATACAATAAGAGGATCACCTCTATCGAGTCAGAAATTGAGATGGGTTGAGGATGGACTGCAATTTTCGTATGAGTCAATGCACCTGTGGTTCATCATATTCTTGAGCATGGCTCTTGAAGGCTTTTGATGGAGAGCCTAACAGACCTGGGTCTCCTCAGCCCTGAAAGACTGCAACAGATTCAGCATTTCCCTTTGGTGATTTGAGCGTAGGTCCCACTCCACGCACCTTCAAAATTAGGCAACATCTTGAGAAAGAGATGGCTGTATGTTATCCCACGCCCTCTCTAAAGAAATTTTGTCTCCTAGCACCACAAGGCTGGGAGATTTCTTTCTACTTTTGGGGCAGCCTTCTATCTCCTGCGCAGTCATTTTCCTTCATGTCCCTGAAGGCCTCGTGTTTAGGGCTCCTCTAGTTTCCAATCTATCACGCGAGCCCCTAATGACTGCCAAAAGCTCTTCTTGCAACCCTTTCCCCAAAAATTCCTTTGCTTGGGCCAAGCTTGCTCTTTAGCCTGTGCCCAGAATCAGCAAATGTCCCCCTGGAAAAGAAATGGCTGTGACCATCAACTCACTTAGGAAAAGTTCTAGCCTTTCTGAAATTTTAGTTTATATCGTCCTCCTTGCTTCCATAGCTCTCTAACCAATATGATTTTTGAAACGTATTTTTTTTCAAGTTGTTATTGCAGGAGTTTGCCTTGCTATGACCTACTACATCCGACTTAGAGGAGAAAGATCCTTACAAACTGTTTGGAAAGAATCAACCTATAGAGGAAGGACTTCAAAATGAAAAGAACAATAGACTAATTACATAAAAAACAAAGAGAGTGTGTACCTGTGAGGGCATCACAACTGGCAGACCGGTTATTGCATCGGCAGGGCAAGCAGCCACTCTTACTGAAGTGATAATATCCATCTTGGCATTGATCACATGTAGAGCCAGTAACCCCCACTTTACACTGGCATTTCCCAGAACTGCAAATAAAAGTAAAGACAATAAACAAAAGTAAGTTAGTTGAAAATTTTGTTGCCTAGAATCCCATCATAAGTTGATCTTAATGTAGAAATTGTTTCAATTAGATTCTAGTTACAAGAGGTATTGAGTGATTTTTATTTTGAATTGGAACTTGAAGTTTCATGACTATATAAATACAATTAACAGTACTAACACTAATAATTTGTGACTATTTAATCCTCTGCACTTGGGCAATTAAAAATAAATGATAAAAGAGCCATGGAGAATGTAAGTTCTGGTGCTTAGACATCTCTGTTTATAAATAAGCGCTGGGGCTAGAACCAGTACTAATGCTACATCTCATTCCTGAGTCATTCCACAGTTCTATCAGCATTCACACTGTCCAGTCTGGAGAAGGAAAAACACCTAGCCTTCACCCAATCTAGCTCCTGGATGAAGAATATGAAGATCAGGATCTCAATGAATGTGTCAACTAATGTCCATTTATATGCTAGAAACTTGATATAACTTTCTACTTTAAGTATAGGCTGTATTAAAATGTTTCTGGTAATTAAAGTGGAATTCACAGTTATGTAAAATGACTATAATGGGCACCTCTGTTGCTTTCTAGATTAAATTTATATAAAAATTCTAGACGTCAACCCAAAAGACTAAAAATCTAAAGTCAGAAAAATATTTTATTTAGTATCTCATCTCTTCCTATAAACCCACTTTCTCTTCTTAGATGTCTCTTTCAACAATATCACCTCTTCCAATCAGTGAAACTTAAATCTCTGTTGTCATTTCTAAGTCCTCTCTCTCTACCCCATGCTCTTACACTTACTCACTCAAACCAAACCCAATATGTCATCAATTTCTGTCAAAATTTCTTTCAAAATATGTTGGTATTGTTATTTCCTCTACAATCATTCCTCAAAAACTTTCCTGCTTTCAGGCTCATCTTTTTCCATGAAACTTTTCTCTGACTGGTCTGCAAAGGCCTTTTCTCTCTACCTTGCATTTTAATCTTAATTATGGTCTGTTCTATAGTCTTTCATACATGTAATTCTCATTTCTCTAGTTAAAATTATTAAAGACCTGAAGCAAAGACTATATCATAAAATTTTTTTTATTATTATCTTCAAGACCGAGCACAAGCCTATGGATATTATACTATTTTTTTTCACTTTTTTTTCAATTACATTTGATATACAATATTAGTTTCAGGTATAGATCATAGTGATTAGACATTTAGATAACTTACAAAGTGATCACCCGACAAGTCTAGTACCATACATAGTTATTACAATATTATTGACTATATGCCCTATGGTATACTTTATATCTCCATGACTATTTTATATCTGCCAATTTGTACTTCTGAACCCCTTCACCTTTTTTCACCCAGCCCTCTAACCCCTACTCTCCACTGACAACCATCAATTTGTTCTCTGTATCTGTGAGTTTGTTTCTGTTTTGTTTATTCATTTATTTTGTTTTCTTAGATTCCACATATAAGTGAAATCATATGGTATTTGTCTTTCTCTGACTTATTTCTCTTAGCATTATACCCTCTAGGTCCATCCACTTTGTCACAAATGGCAGGATTTCACTCTTTTTTATGGCCAAGTAATATTCCATTGTACATATGTATCACATTTTCTTACATCCTACTTGGTAAGTTTGCTGAATCCAGGGACCATATTTTAGCCATCTTAATGCTCTCAGAATCTAGTATAGTACCTGGTTTGTTGTAGGCATTTAATATATGCTTGATAAATAAATGTTCAATAAATACACAAACTGAGTTTTAGAGTTAAGCATTGGGAGGGAGAAAGAAAGATTAAGAGCCAGACTAATTACCACGGTTCTCAGAACAGCTAAAATTCTTTCCCTTTTTTCCAACAGTGTGACACTTCTTTAATATGCTCATTCTGGAACTTAAAATTTTAGACTTTGAGTAGATTTTGGCACCAGTCATATTGTATGGGAGACAATCCAAGGTAGAATTGCTTTTCGATATAATTTTTTAAAGAGATTCAGTTCCTAATAATGAGCCCTTATGGTATTGTTAATTTTAGTTCAGGAGCCCAAGCTCAAATTGTTAAAACTTACACAGCTCTTACACATATCAGGTAAAGCAATCCTTTGCTACTTCCCATATTGCTATTTCTGTAGTAAAAATAGGAGTTCTAAATTTGAGAGTTATTGGAACTTTGCTTTCACCTTTGCAGATTGGAAGTAAAGCAACTTTAAACCATGTGTATTCTACTTGTGGTATGCAAACCTAAGGATTATTATTATTATTATTTTAATTATTGGAGATGTGCCTCTCTGTTTGTCAGCATCCCCCAGGGAAAATAATAAAGCTTTTCTCTTCTGTCCCTAAAAAACCTATTTTGAGCAGCTGGAGTTGAAGTTTACTTCTCTATCCCACTTACCATGATTCTCTACAATATTTCACGGTATACCAAAAAGGAGTAGAAAAGTAGAATAACATTTCTACATACAATATTTTTCAGAGCTTTCCTCAAACAAAACCAGTCCAGATGGCAAAGAAAGTCAGTATCCTGAGAAGTCACTTTTCAAAATCTGTATTTCTATCTTAAAGCTGCCTAGTGTATTGGGTTATGCAATTTCTTGTCTAACAAAAAATTTTACAGAAAAATGTGAAGACAATGACGTGCTGCGGCTGATGACAAAAACAATGAGCCATCATTATTGAGGGCCTATGTCAATAAATATACATTCTCTCTAATCCTCAAAATAACTCTACCAGGTAAAGTTCACAATCCTCGTCTTATGATCAAGGAAATTCAGAAAGGTTAAAGTTATTGTTCATACCTTGTAATTATTTATATAATGCCAGACTTTTCCCACTATACCTTGATACCTATCCTTCCCTAAGTTTGACTCTAAATTTGTACAAGAAATTTGCCTGCCAAGTGACTTGATATTCACTTGGGTACCGAGCTTCATTCTATAGATTCCAAGCACCACAGTTCACCATTTATTTGGGTTCTAACCCCAGTAAGCTGTTCTGCCTGGCCCAGAATAAACCCCATCTCTTTTCTCACTGCCAATAAATTTCAGATCTTCCTTAACAAAAGCTAAGAGCACTTACTGCTTGAAGAGAAACTTCGGCTTAGCAAGTCCAAGGTTCTCAAAGATATAAGCTCAAATATTTTAATGCTTAGTTAAAGCTTAAACCTTGTACTGATCATAATATAGATGACCATTGTTTTTTTGATGCAACAGAAATTTACATTACCAACCATTTCTAAGTAACTTTGCAAAAAATTAGAAAAGAAAAAAAGTCCATGCACATACATATATACAGTCTTATACAAGAATATCCCACAGTACTTAAGTTAAGGATCTAGAAAAGTAAATCTGCATTCATCATGTATGAAGTTCAGGAATATCTGATGACCCAACAACAAGGAACCAGTCAATTTAAGTCTTGCTATACTGTCAAAAATTATAAAGGATATAATAATGTAACTTTCAGAGAATGGCCAACAACACTTCATCAGCCAATTCCCAAAGCTTTTAAAATGTTAATCAAAATATCCTTGTTCATTTCTCTACACATATTATTCAGTACACAGAAAAATAGTTATTTTTAATGATGGTGTTTTCCCAACTCGCCACCTACAAGAAAAAAGTATTATCTTAAAATATCAAATAACATATTGATAATTACATTAAAATTATGTTAATAATTATTATTAATCATTTATAATATATTAATAACATATATAGCCAGTGTTCCCAAAGTAGTTGCTATCCTGCTCTGGGCACCCAGCAGGCTGACTAAAGCAGGCATCTTTCTCCCTGGAGAATACACTCCTTAGTAGCTGATTAACAAAAAAAACCCACGAATGGCTTCATGAATCTCGCTAAAAAAAAAAATGGCTGACTACTCTAGACACCATGCTTCACTCTTCCTGGATAGATTTTGAAGCAACGGGAAAAAAACATGCTTTTTTCTCTTTTTTAAAAAGATATACAGAATGGAGTAGAAAAGTTTAATTGCGAGACTGCACTAGCAGCGTTTTTCCACCATGTTACTCATGGCCCATGGCCAATTCCTGCGTGTATAAGAATTAAATCACTCAGCAAATATAAAGCTTTCCCTGTGTGACTTCTTTTATAGAATAAAGCCTTTACAACACCCCCTTTCATGGTCTCCCTCTGTTAAAGACTGCTGAATGCTTTTTGAAGCAAAGGTCAATGATATAAATGCAATGAAGAAAAAAAGAGGTCTGTTAACAAACCACTTACGCTTATCCATGAAAGAACCGAAGACTCACATCTTCATATCTGGAGAATAAGGGCAAAGAACTAACTGGATTTTGAATGGCAGTCAGAAATCTATACTATTGAAATTAACAAAGAATATAAGATAAAATTGCTCTAGTGTCACTCTTTATAGATATGGGTTAGTTGCTAGGAAAGTGTTAATATAGTATGGAGAATTATATCAGAAAAAAGAATATAGATTTATAAAGGAAGCACATGCATTGTAGAAATACGCTGCACTAAATAAAACTAAGCGTATACTGCACATTTCTTAAATTACCCCAAACAGAATTCTCAGATTTTCTTATGGTACCAGTGCTTAGAGAATTTATCACACTCACAGGTGTGAGCAACTATTACAAGGTTTGAAAACTTAAAATTTCTTAAAATGTAAAGAGATATTATCTGACATGAAGCTATTTAATTTTTTAAAAGGAAATGCAATGGTGTGTCATCTCAAGATAGGGTACATACTTATGTCATACAAGTACTAACCCAAATGTCTTTTTAAAGGTTCTGTTTTGTTTAGGATGAGTGGGTGGAGAATCTTCAGAATTTCCATTATTTTATAATCACACTGACCAGGGTGGGAAGGGTGGAACACAGGAAGGGAGGTATCAGGGTCCATGGAAAATTCGTAGCCTGAGAAGACAGAGAGAGCTTGGTTCAAATTCCAGCTCTGCTGGCAGCTAGCTGGGCCCAAGAACTTGTTCTG